GAAAATATACACAAAGTCGAAAGATGACTAGCCAGATTAACCAGAAATAGAAGAGAAAGGACTCAAATAAATTCTATCAGAAATGAAAAAGGGGACATTACAACTGACAATGCAGAAATATAAAATATCATTCATGAATACCATGAAAACCTCTATAAAAACAAACTAGAAAACCTAGAGCAAATGGATAAATTCCTGGAAACACACAACCTCCCAAGCCTGTATCAGGAACAAATAGAAATCCTGAACAGACCAATAACAAGCAGCAAGACTGAAGCAGTAATAAAAAACCTCCCAACAACAAAAAAAAAGCCCAGACCTGATAGATTCACAGTTGAATTCTACCAGACCTATAAAGAAGAACTGGTACCCATACTACAGAAATTACTCCGTAACACTGAGAAGGAAGGAATCCTCCCTAGCTCATTCTGTGAAGCCAGAATCACCTTGATACCAAAGCCAGAAAAAAACACAACAAAAAAAGGAAACTACAGACTAATATCCCTTATGAATGTAGATGTGAAAATCATCAACAATATACTAGCAAACTGAATTCAGTAACTCATCAAAAAGATAATTCAGACTAGGTATGGTGGCTCACGCCTGAAATCCTAGCACTCTGGGAGGCCAAGGCAGGAGAATTGCTTGAGCTCAGGAGTTCAAGACCAGCCTGAGCCCTTAGCAAGAGCAAGACTCCCGTCTCTACTAAAAACAGAAAAAAATTAGCTGGGCATGAGGGCCCACACCTGTTAGTCCCAGCTACTCAGGAGGCTGAAGGTAGAAGGATTGCCTGAGCCCAGGAGTTTGAGGTTGCTAATGAGCTAGGCTGACGTCATGGCACTGTACCCTAGGCGACACAGCAAGACTCTATCTCAAAAAAAAGAAATAAAAAAAGAAAATTCACCATGATCAACTAAGTTTCATCCGAGGGATGCAAGGCTATTTCAACATACACAAATCAATAAACGTGATTCACCACATAAACAGAATTAAAAACAAAGACCATATGATCATCACAACAAATACAGAAAAAGCATTAGATAAAAAACCAGCACTCTCCCTTTCATGATAAAAACCCTCAACAAACTAGGCATAGAAGGAACATATCTCAAAATTATAAAAGCCATATGTGCCAAACTCACAGCCAACATCATACTGAATGGGGAAAAGTTGAAAGCATTCCCTCTAAGAACTGGAATAAGACAAAGGTGCCCACTATCATCACTTCTATTCAACATAGTATTATTGGAAGTCCTAGCCAGAGCAATTAAGCAAGAGAAAGAAATAGAGAGCATCCAAATAAGGAAAGAGAAGGTCAAACTATCCCTGTTTGCTCAAGATATGATCCTGAATCTAAAAAACCCTAAAGATTCCACCAAAAGACTCCTAGAATTGACAAATAAATCCAGCAAAGTCTCAGGTTACAAAATCAATGTATACAAATCAGTAGCAATTTTATATATTAGTAACAGTCAAGCTGAAAGTGAAATCAAGGACTCAATACCATTCACAATAGCTACAAAGAAAATAAAATACCTAGGAATACAATTAACCAAGGAGGTGAAAGAGCTCTACAAGAACTACAAAACACTGATGAAAGAAATTGCAGAGGACACAAAGGAAAAAACATCCCTTGCTCATGGATTGGCAGAATTAACATCATTAAAATGTCCATGCTGCCCAAAGTGATTTACAGATTCAACACAATTCCCATCGAGATACCAATGTCATATTTCACAGATCTAGAAAACATAATCGTAAGCTTCATTTGGAACCAAAAGAGCCTGAATAGCCAAGGCAATCCTAAGCAAAAAGAACAAATCTGGAGGCATCATATTACCTGACTTCAAATTATACAAGGCTATAGTAACCAAAATAGCATGGTACCAGTATAAACTCAGAGACACAGAAAAATGGAACAGAATAGAAAACCCAGAAATAAAACCATATAGCTATGACCAACTGACCTTCAACAAAGCAGACAACAACATACACTGGGGAAAGGAAGCTCTATTCAATAAATGGTGCTCAAAAAATTGGATAGCCACATGCAAAAGAATGAAACAAAATCCCTATCTCTTGTAATACACAAAAATTAATTCAACATGGATAAAAGACTTAAGTGTAAGGCATGAAACCATAAAAATTCTAGAAGGAAACATAGGAAAAACTCTTCTAGACATTGGCCTAGGCAAAGAATTCATGACTAAGACCCCAAAGGCAAACACGGCAACAATAGAAATAAATAAATGGGACTTAATTAAATTTAAAAGCTTCTGCACAACAAAGGAAATAAACAACAGAGTGAACAACCTATAAAATGGGATAAAATATTCACAAACTATATGTCCAGAATCTACAAAGTACGCAAATAAATCAGCAAGAAAAAACCAACTCCGTCAAAAAGTGGGCAAAAGATATGAACAGAAGTTTTTCAAAAAAAGAAAATAGACAAATGGCTAACAAACATATGAAAACATGCTCAACATCACTAATCAGGGAAATGCAAATTAAAACTACAAAGAGATACCACTTTACCCTTATCAGAATGGCCATTATTAAAAAGTCAAAAATCAATAGAGGCCAGCGTGGATGCAGAGAGAAAGGAACGCTTGTAAACTGTTGGTGGGACTGCAAATTAGTACAATCTCTACGGAAAACGGTATGGAGATTCCTCAGAGAAATAAATCTAGAGCTACCATTCGATCCAGCAATACCACTGTGTGTGCATACACACACACACACACACACACACACACACACACACACACACAGACACCATGGAGTACTACTCAGCCATAAAAAGGAATGAAACAATGTCATTTGCAGCACCTTGGATTGAACTGAAGACCATTATCCTAAGTGAAGTATATTATGAATGGAAAACCAAATACCATATGTTCTCACTAATAAGTAGGTGCTAAATGATGGGTACACACAGGCACAAAGAGATATAAAGGACACTGGAAACGAAGAAGGGAGCAGGGTGAGAGGGGAAAGGGAGGGATAAAAATTTACCTATTGGGTAAAATGAACACTATTCTGTTGACGGGCACACAAAAACCCCAACTTAAGCATTATACGAAGTATCCATGTAACAAAAACATTTGTACCCCCTTAATATCTTGAAATAAAAAAAAAAGTTACTATGTAGATTTTTAACTACATGGGGAGTCAGCATCACTAATCCCCTCATTGTTCATGGGTCAACTGTGAATATGAACAGAAGTTAAAAAATATAACAAAAACCTATCTCCACTTCTGGTTGTTATCTTTCATGAATAACAGGAAAAGGTGAGCAAGATGGTGATATATATCATATAATGCCATGCAATGAAAACTAGAAATACTAAACCTAGATAATGACTGAAGGTTTGCCCTTGCACATGTAAGGGAACACAGTACCTGTTTTCAAGTGAAAGGCTGCAAAAAAGGAATATGTGAGAAAGTAAAGAGTAGATGTATTTTCTTAAAGATGAGGAAGCACTTTGCAACAATTACAGCTGTTCAAGAGAATCAACTGATACACAGTAAGCTTCCCATCAACACAGGCTGATGACAACCCATTAGGAACTTATAGAAATGGGTATTCATGTTTCTAGAAGAAATCTGATCTTTGTTATGTGGTAATACTACAATACTTCTAGATTTATATAAATTAACTCCAACTTTTAAAAAATTCTAATTAGTTAAAATTAACAAAGAAATTAGTATTAGCAACATAAAAAAATAAAACCACCAAAACAAAAATAAAAACCCTACACACAGGCTGGGTGTGGTGGCTCATGCCTGTAATTCTAGCACTATGGGAGGCCGAGGCAGGTAGATCGCTCAAGGTCAGGAGTTCGAGACCAGCCTGAGCAAGAGCGAGACCCCGTCTCTACTAAAAAATAGAAAGAAATGATCTGGATAACTAAAAATATATATACAGAAAAAAATGAGCCGGGCATGGTGGCGCATGCCTGTAGTCCCAGCTACTTGGGAGGCTGAGGCAGAAGGATCGCTTGAGCCCAGGAGTTTGAGGTTGCTGTGAGCTAGGCTGACGCCACGGCACTCTAGCCCAGGCAACAGAGCAAGACTCTGTCTCAAAAAAAAAAACAAAAACCCCTACACGCACACACAAAAAAAGACTTATAAATCTTGCCCAGTGATTCACAGTAATTAGGCTTTGTGAATACTATTACGACAAAATCCACCCCCATGAACAAGTCAACACAGGGATTTATTTTTCTACTTGTCCAAGTAATAACCTTACACTATAGTGCAAAAATTATCATACAGATAATTATCCCAAGAAAGAACACAAAATTAGTAAACAGTCATAACAAAATCTACAATGAATAACACTATACATTTATACAGTGCCTTAACGTTCCTCAAATTGCTTTTCTACCTGTTGTGCCACCTAATGTGAAAACAACTCTTGAGACAAACAAATTAGTTAGTATTAGTCCCATTTTACTATCTTCCTGAGGCTCAGAGGGGTAGATGACTCTCCTTAGGTCACTGGAGTGGGTCCAGAGTATGAATCTGGTACATATGACTCCCGGTCAGTGACCATTGTTTTTTTTTAGCAATTTTGTTTCCTCTTTATTGAAGTAATACATTTTCATTGTACAAACGTTGGAATTCAGATAAAATAAATCCCTACCCTTGATAGTGAATAATATTAACAAGAAACTTTAACTCTCTTTGAAATGAAAGAAAATGGAAGTAAAAGAAACTCAAGTGAAAGAATAAGGAAAAATTGATTTTGCTCCCCATAATTATTATTATGCTGAAAAAAGCAGAGGCTAAGTGGATCAGTTCTATGGGGTAAATAATGTTCTTCTTGAACTGCCATTAAATATCTTGCATGTAAAATGCTTAAAGTAAAATAACACTAAAATATAGACATCTCCTGAAAATGGACTCTAGAAATGTCAGATTTCTCATCTGTACTTGCGAAGAGAAAACATCCTAAGTTTTAATGATACATAAGTATAAGGTAAAACCATTACCTTGGGTGTGCTTCCTTTAATGAATTTTTTAATTGAAGACAACAAGCCGGTTTCATTCTTCGGTGGTTTTTCTCCTCCTGAAGGCAGGCTATCATCAACCTCTGAATATTTCCTCTTTGCTCTGGCAGTGCGTTGTGTCTGAATTTGATTTGATTGCTGAGAAGCTTTCCGTGTTCTCAGCCTCATCTTTTACGGGTGCCACATGTAAAACTATAAGAGGAAAATAACAAAGGTTATTAAAATTCAACCTAGCGTACCCAAATGTGCCCAGCTTATATAATAAAAATCTCTTGGTTTAAAAAGCCTAAATCTCCAGGACACTGAAATAAGAAACTAACATTTTAAGTAAAAGGTATTATGTTCTGTACTTAATATGTAACCTTTCCAACAACATCTGAAAAAAAAGTAAGGGTAACATCAAAGAGTGTGTTGTGCCTGTTCTTTCCACAATACTATGCTGCCTCCACCCATGCCCACATTATCATTTGTTTAATCATTCATTCAATTATTTATTGATCACTTAACCACATTCGAGGCACTGGGATAGGTAAGCACTGAGTAAATAGTAAACAAGATATGACAGAGTTTTGCCCTTCTGGAAGTCACAATGTAGTGGAAAAAACTGTCAGTCAATGCATGAATTCCATGAGCACAGCTATAGTAATGAACAATCCTATTAGTGTAACAACAATGGTTCAATCATTTTGAGAAATTTCAATCTTACCACGGAATATACTTTTAAAACCGAATTCATATCAGAAAGAAAATATGAGACTATCTACTTAAACTCTCTCATTTTATAGATAGGAAAATTAATGGATGGCAAAATTGTCCCAACACTTCTACGGAGTTAAGGACATACCCAGAATTAGAATTTGTGAGACAGAATACAAAGACTACTAAACTAAGAATTAAGAGATGTGAATTCCAATCCTACTTCAGTCATAGCTAAGCTATAGTCACTTAACCTGTGTTTTTTCACTTGTCTAAAAAATATATTCACCTTACCATCTTGAGGCTCAAAATGAAAAAGGTATTAGAAAAGGCTATAATGTGCAGAGGATGATAAAGCTGTTCACAACAGTGAATTCTTTCACAGAAAAGTCTAACTCCAATTAAGCACACTAAACTCCTAAAGGCATAGAAATTTCTGGCAAAGATTAGAGTCTTCAATGACCAATTAGGAAGTCTCAGAAATTGTGTTTTTACTAATTAAACACAATTACAGAAAATAAAGAAACTTTTTTAAAATGTAGAAAATACACACATCTATAGTGCCTACTTAAAAAAAAAAAACAAAAACCCTGATATAGACTAAATGTTTGTGCCCCTCACCTAAATTCACATGTTGAAACTTAATCCCCAATTTGATGGTATTTAGAGGTGGGCCCTTTGTGAGGTGATTAGGTCATGAGGGCATGAATTGGATTAGTGCTCCTATAAAAGTGGCCTCAGAGAGATCAGATCCCTAGCCCCTTCCGCCATTTGAGGTTACATAGAGAGCCTGGTGGTGTATGAGGAAGCAGGTTCTTATCACATACCAAATCTGTCTGCACCTTGATGTTAGATTTCCAAACATCCAGAAGTGTGAGAAAGAAATTTCTGTTGCTTGTAAGCCACTCACCAAGTTTATGACATTCTTATTATGGCAACTTGAACTGACCTAAGACACCCCATACAAACTCAAAGAATTCACCAGAGGAGTCCCAAAGTATCTTTCCAAATAACTACTTTTTTCCATAACCAAATGGTGTTCAGTTTTAAGTTGCCATCTCCAAGTAAAATAAATATTGCTTTTTCTCCTAAAGAGTTAATGTTAAATTACAGGCCAGGCGCGGTGGCTCACGCCTGTAATCCTAGCACTCTGGGAGGCCGAGGCAGGCAGATTGTTTGAGCTCAGGAGTTCAAGACCAGCCTGAGCAAGAGCGAGACCCCGTCTCTACTAAAAATAGAAAAAAATTAGCCGGGCATGGTGGCGCATGCCTGTAGTCCCAGCTACTTGGGAGGCTGAGGCAGGAGGATCGCTTGAGCCCAGGAGTTTGAGGTTGCTGTGAGCTAGGCTGACGCCACGGCACTCTAGCCCAGGCAACAGAGCCAGACTCTAGTCTCAGGAAAAAAAAAAAAGGAAATGATAATCTCTGCCCATGAAAAGCAAAAAACCTAGCAGGTAAGCATATTTAATTATCATATTATATATATAAAATGCTAAATCACTCTGCATGGAGAAAGTGAAGAGGGCTTTGGGAAAGCTTAGAAGAAGGCCCTTTGAACTCAAAAATAACGAGGGGGTATTTCACAGGAAAGAAAGATGAACATCTGAAAAAGGAAGCTCATGTGTAGAGGTTTTGCCCATTTCATAAGCAGGCTGTGAAAGATGTATTTAACAGGTCCAAAAGGACTGAAGAAGTCAAGCCCTAATGAACTTCCAAAATTGCCTGCTCACACAATGGATGAGGAAAACACATACTTTTCAATCACGCATACAGTGCTCACCAAGATAGATCATATGTGGAGCCATAAAACAAGTCTCAATAAATTTTAAGACTAAATCTGCACGAAGTATGTACTCTGACCCCAATTATAAATCAAATTATACATCAAAAACCAAAAAACGTTAAAAGTACCAAATACTTGGAAATTTTAAAATATATTTATAAATAAATCAGGAGCCAAAAAAGAAATCACAAGGGAAATTAAAATATTTTGAACTGAAAGATAACAAAATAGAACACATAAAAATTTCTGAGATGTAATAAGCAGTACTTAGTGGAAAACTATAAATATATATGCACCCAAAAACAGAACCTCAAAATATATAAAGGACAAACTCTCACAACTGAGTGAAAAAGACAATTAATAGTTAGAGACTTCAATACCCCACTTTCAATAATGGACAGAACAACTAGAACAAAAGATCAACAAGGAAATAGAAGACCTGAACAACTCTTTAGACCTAACATATATAAAACACTACAACAGCAACAGAAAACTCTCAACGTACATATGAAACATTCTCCAGGATGGTACACCTGACAGGGCACAAAACAAGTCTTAATAAATTTAAAAGGATTGAAATCAAATAAGTATAGGCATACCTCATTTTGTTGTGCTTTGCATATACCATGTTGGTTTTTTTTTGGGGGAGAGGGGTTGTTTTTTACAAATTGAAGCAACCCTGTGTTGAGCAAGTCTTTCACCACTATTTTTAAAACAGCATATGCTCTCTTTATGTCTCTGCATCACATTTTGGTAATTCTACAATATTTCATACTTTTTCGTTATTATTTTATGTATAATAAGGATTTGTGATCTGTGATCTTTGATGTTACTGTTTGAATTGTTTTGGGGCTATACAAACCACATCAATATAAGACAGCAAACATAATAAATGCCGAGTGTGTTCTGACTGCTTACTGACCATCCATTCCCCATCTCTCTCCCTCTCCTTGGGCTTCCCTAGTCCCTGAAACACAAGGATATTGAAATGAGGCCAATTCATAACCCTACAATAGCCGCTAAGCATTCAAGGAAGAGTCAAACATCTCTCGCTTTATTAATAAATCAAAAACTAGAAATGATTAAGCTTAGTAAGGAAGGCATATCAAAAGCCAACACAGGTCAAAAGTTAGGCCTCTTGTGCCAAACAGCCAAGATGTGAATGCAAAGGAAAAGTTCTTGAATGAAATTCAAAGTGCTAGTCCGCTAAACACAAGATAAGAAACCAAAACAGCATTCTTTTTGATAAGGAAAAGTTTTAGTGGGCTGGAGAGAAGATCAAACCAGTCACAGCATTCCCTTAAGCCAAAGCCTAATGAAAGCTAAGAGAATTAAGGAAGCTGCAAAAGAAAAGTCTGAAGCTAGCCTCCCAAGTAGCTGGAAACTACAGGTGCGCACCACAGCGCTTGGCTAATTTTTCTAATTTTTAGTAAAGACAGATCTTGCTCTTGCTCAGGCTGCTCTAAAACAATCCTCCCACCTCGTCTCCCAGAGTGCTAGGATTACAGGCATGAGCCACCTCACCCAGTCTGTACTAAATATTTAAAGAATTAACAGCAATCCTTCTCCAGTTCCTCCAAAAAAAAATTAAAGAAGAACATCTCCCAACTCATTCTAAGAAGCCAGTCTTACCATGATACCAAAGTCAGATAAAGACACTACAAGAAAAGAAAACCACAAGTCAGTGTCAATATCCTTTACGGACTACACTCAGTGGGACTCATGCCTGTAATCCTAGCACTTTGGGAGGCCAAGGTGAGAAGCGAGGATCACTTGAGGCCAGGAGTTGGAGACCAGCTGGAGCAACATAGCAAGACTCTGTCTCTACAAAAATATAGAAGAATTAGAGGCATGGTGGCACATGTCTGTAGTCCCACCTACTAGGGAGGCTGAGGCAGGAGGATCCCTTGAGCCCAGGAGTTTAAGGTTGCAGTGAGCTATAATGACGCCACTGCTCTCTAGGCCCAGGCAAAAGAGCCAGACCCCATGTCAAAAGAAAAGTATAAATTAAAACCACAAAGGCATACCAATTTACATCTACTAAAATGGCAAAAAGACTTAACTTTCATACTCTACTGGTACAAATGTAAGTTTTTTGGTAAAGTTGTGCAATTTCTAACGTACACCTAACTCTTTGACCCAGTAATTTCACTTCTAAGTTCTTATCCAAGAGAAATGTAAAACACGTTCACAATACAGTTTTACAAAAATGTTTCTGGTGGCCTTAGTCACAGTAAGGCTGTTTCTAGTTCCAAAGTGGAAGCAACAAAAATGTCCAACAACAGAAAGTTGACTACTGTGGTGTTTTCATACAATAGAACACCAATCAGCATCAGAAAGTAATTGTTAATTACTGATATCATCAACAAGAAAGAATCCCGCAGACATGCTGAACAACTGTACACATAAAAGAATACATGTTTGATGATATCATTAACAAGAAATTTTATTAGAGACAAAACTAATCTAAGGAGAAAAAAATCAGAAAAGGAGTTGCCTTGGGGAAAGGAAATGCCCTCTAATTTGATAGGAGTATGAACCCATTTGCCAAAATTTTACAGCTAAGATGTGTGCTCAAGACGTTTAAGCTCAACATCTGTTGAATCATTAGCTGACCACTGGGCTATGCAGATACAGTGGGTATGCCCCAGTAAGCTAGGCTTAAAAATGAAAGCAAGAAATTTTAAAAACAAAAATAATTAAGCAGAGACACC